GAGAAACTAGTTTGACCCATCAGAGTTTAAACTCCGTAAGATCAAATATTTTTACTTATACTCTTTCAGGATAAATGAATCACCGTAAAAGCATGCAGTTTCTTCAACATGCAATAATATAAAAAGACTTGCAGAGACATGCATGAAAGAACAAGTGATTTAATGTACACTGAAATCTCTCAATAAAACTTTCTTTTCTAGCATAGCACATAGCACAGAGTGCTCTTATAGCACTTTTCATAAGCTAGGAATAATTTTTCTAGTGACTTACAAACCCACTCAGCACCTGACATGATACTGTATATTCATTAGCACTTGCTGTGGTCTTCTATAGCCAATTATATCATTAAAGCTGAAAACAGCAAAAGAATCTATTTAGTAACATGCAGTCTACAATTACACCAAAAGTGGATGTGAAAAAATAAAAACTAAAAAACGTAGACATTTTGCACTAGTGGTATTGGCTGAAGGCTATATTAACTTTTAAAACTTTTCTGTTGTTGGAAAACATGTTTCTTTAATCACAATAGGTCGTGGTTTGTTGCTGGAGATGCTGCCAAAATGTTATGAAGAAAGTGTTCTGAAGATAATGAAATGAACCCATTCCCAAATACATTTTTGGGATAAGTAAAAATACTTTTTTCATTAATTTTAAACAGGTAACCAGAAATTTATAATTTATTTTAAATTACTAAGGTCAGCATTTGATTTTTAAAAATGTGATCTATACATTAAAATTAATAAAATAAGAAAAATAAAACTTGTTCCCAGAGAAGTATTAAGATTACTAAGATACTACTACTACTTTGGTTCCAGTCAGTATAAGCCCCTAACACAGAAAAGCAGTGTTTTTAATCTGTGGGTAGTGACTTCCTAAAGGAAACTGTATACTGTACTGTTCATGATCAGTATTAATTTTTAATAAGAAAAAATAAAATTTAAAAAAATATTAAGAGTGCATCACACTGAATTCAGGTGAATGAATGAATAGGAATCGTATGTGAGTTTGTACACAGATGTAAGAGGAAGTCACAGTAAAGATGCAGAATGTCAATATTAATCTTCCTTCTTTTCAAGCAAGGAAAGAATGCTGGATAGCACAGAGATACACTGTGGAAATATAAGTCTCACAAATGTATATTCTTTGACAGCATTCTACTCTGAACTTAATTATTTCCCTTTCCTCTTATTTTGATCTCAAAATGATTGTAGATTAGGTTGATAGGATAAATTTTACCTTAAATAAATTTTAAATGTTTTAGAAATTTTAATAACCAGTTACTACATAATTTACCATCCAATTAAGATACTTCCGGTATTGTATAGTATTAATAACTTAGTAACACTGTTCTTACTCTTCCTAATATAAAGAGATACCATTTAAGTAAATAAAGTAGCATAAAACATAAAATTGCAAACAGTAGGGCAGGCGAGGACATGGCTCAGTGTAGAGGTCTTTACTTACCATGTCCAAGGCCCAGGGTTTGATCCCTAGGCAGCCCCCCCAAAGCAAATAGTGAAAAGAAAAACGTCTAAAGCCCTGAATATGAATGCTATCATGAAATTTCTCTGATTTTTAATGAAAATTATACAATGTTTTTATGAGACTATATACAGACTTAACCGGAAAAAAATTTGTATGAACATGTGAAACATTAATCCTCTAAACAGAGACAAATCTGGAAAGACTACCCTAAATATGTGGTGTCAATACTAACAAAAACTAATTATTGAATAAGAAGTCTGCCTTGCATTTGTAGTGTAGAATATAAAATAAATCCTCTGATACTAATCTCTTTAGACAAAAATCTATTAAGAAAATAAAAATGTTTTCATAAATTATATACAACTGAAAATATAGAAAAATTGTTAAACTGGGTCAGTTCTGGGGAAAATTGTAATATGTTCAATTCTCATTTGACAATTAACGAGCCCCAAGCATGGCTACCACTTTGATACCTTCCATTTTAAGGCTTTTCTATTTTGTTCATTAGTTCCTTTTCCTAATATCAAAGAGGATGTATTTTAATTTATACTTTTGCTAAGTGAATTGCTGATGTTACACAGTCTTTGTGAAAAGAGAATACTGATGTTACACAGTCTTTGCATCTTCAGCATCTTTTTCTTTTCCTTCTTTTTTTCTTTTTTCTTTTCATGTCAGGCAAGGTCTTTAGCACTGAGCTATATCCCTGGCCCTTTTTATTATTTTAACTTTTGAGACAGAGCCTTGCCAACTACTCAGGCTAGCTTCAAGCTTGCAATCTTTCCACCTCAGCCTTCTGATTTTTGGGAATGGGGAGAACCAGGTATCAAACCCACGACCTTGCACTTGCCAGGCAGGCTCAGTGCCACTGAGCTACATCCCCCCAGCCCTTTTTAATGACTGTTATTCCCCTCCACCACGTCAGCTTTCTGAGTAGCTGGGATTGTAGGCATGTATCACCACCTGGCCTGAATTCAAACTTTATTCATCATAAAAGGAGCTATTTATATCCTTGAAAAAGTGATGCCTATTACTCCTATGAGCTGATGAATTCCTTTTAATAAGCCACTGGAAGCCTTATAGGTTGGAACCACTGCTTCATGAGTGAGGAATATGGTATGTGGAGCTTATAAACAGAGTTCTCCAACTGAGAAACTAAACACATTAATAAAATTACATAAGAACTTAGTTGGCATGAATAAGTTGCAAAGACATCATCTATAGAGTTCTACTGATCAAGAAGATTTCAAAAATAAGGGCAAAATACTTCAGAATTTTAAGAAAAAGACGCATAATTTTTTTTATTCTTAAAAGTGGGTACTAGTCACGTAAAACACCTTGGACTTTCTTCAGGCTTTCATTTCCATTCTTTTTGCCAAGGAATATCACATAAAACTTTATTTTCTAACACTTCTGACATTTTGATTAATATTTCATTAATGATTATTTACAAAACAATATCCTCTTTTTTCTTGATGGCCTATACTAGTGATGGCAAACCTTTTAGACAGACACCAAGTGCCCAAATTGCAATCCCAAACCTACTTATTTATCACAAAGTACTGACACTGCAATTAAACCTGCATACTCTAAGGTTTTAGTTTAGGAAAAACAACTGTTATCCATTGCTCTGTTGCTGGAGCAATTTGGCTCACATGCCGATAGAGAAGGCTCTGTGAGCCTGCTTTAGCACACACATGCCATATGTTTCCCACCACTGGCCTAGACTATATCTCCATTCATTCTATTTTACTTTTCGGGTAAATTGTTAATGAAAGGTAATGTCACTACATTTTGAAAGATTTTTCAGGTAAGGTAAAGCCTTTTTAAGTGGACTAACAAAGTCTGGATTAGACAGACTCAGTCCCATTGAATATCTGAATAATCTGCTTCAACAGTCAGAATGAATTTTTTATAAGTCCTCTAAAGTTTAAAGTAACCATTTTTTATTGTTCTAATTAGACCTGTTTATTCAATACTCATCAGAATGTTCCCTAACTTAAAGCCAATTTGTTTTAGAATTAAGTGCCTTCTTTCTAAACTAAGAAATCCAGGAAAAGGATCTCGATAGAGGATAGTGACTAAAGAACAAAGATCTAAGATATGACAGCCTTGACTTGAATTTCAATTCTGCTATCCATTAACTGTAAAAGTTCAGCAAATTGCTGAAGTTCTTTGAGCCCTAACTTCCTGTGAAACGGAATCATAGTACCTACATCACATGGTATTTTTATTAAATGCTACGCATGTAAAATGCATTGCATAGTGCCTGACACATAGTAAGCATTCAATAAAGATTATTGGCTATGATAGCAATGATGATGATTCCCTATTTTTATATTCTCTTATTTTCATTTTCCCCTACCTCTAATGTCTGCAATCACCTTCCAAGTCTGATGAAGGTGAGGGTACATAAAAATTGTAAAAATTGTAACTCCAAAATAGGAGCCCTAATCTAGTGAAGTTAAACCCTTCTTTTAATATAAATGGTCAACAGGCATCCTGGATATTTGTATAGCAAGTCAAGAAATAGAGTAAATAAGCAGAATAAAGCCACCAGTATGAATACAAGTGTCTTTTGGCAGCAAGAACATACTTGATATAAATCACAAGGCATAAGGAAGAACAAAAAGGTTGAGAAAAAAACAGCTAGAGAAAGAAGAAAGTAGTGATCTAAAAGGACAAGAGAAATAAAAAGACTGGAAAGAGAATTTTAATCAAAAAGATTTATAATGATCTATTTAGAAAAGGGAGTTTATTGTAATGTGAAAGAAAGTGGATTTGCTGATGTAGGATAGTTCGAAAGACTACAAATGAAATAGCAAAGCAAAGTTTTTGCAGGATTTAAGAAGCATATTATATAAGCTAACTAGTTTCACTGATAGCAGTACGAAGAGTATCTGCAAGGTTGGGCTAGCCAACCAAAAATAACACAGAAATGTGCATTTACACATATAGCTATATATTTATTAATCCTATATATAGTTTAGGGGCAAAAGAAAAATATACTCAGTTGCCAGAACAGACCATTATTAAGGCCTGATCTTCAAGGATCTGATCTACAGGCTAACAGAAAACTCATTAGTTTACTTAGTTTTTTAATCAATTTTACAGTTTTGAAATTTACCTGTAATTTCCTTTTCTAATAAAGCATCTCCCTAAGATAGAGCTACAATCTTTTTTTTTTCCACCAAAGAGGTGACTTACTGGAATCTACTAATAAAATAAATTTAAAAATCAAAAATAGTATACTTTAAGACCAATGGGATTAATGTGGGCTCAAAAGTTCCAAAAGTTTTTTTTTTTCCAAATTAAGTCAGTATGAGCCAAATGAAAAAGAACCACTTGCTTAAAATTATGTTAACAGTTTACAAGTTGCTGAAATTTAATGTCTGTTCAGATTCAACTAATGCTTACCCAAGAAAATTATAAATGTAATCTGAATTAGCACCAGCATGGTGAAAAAAAAAGTGTATTTTTATCAAACAGACTTGCTGTGATATCTGTTCAAACATACCTGTACCAGTCAAAAGTCCAGCACTCTTCTTTCGTGCATAAGCGCGTAAGTGGTTGGACAGGCTAACAGCACTTGTAAACGTCGTATTGCAATGCACACATGTTCTAAGCTTCACAGGCATACCTATCATTCAAAAGAAAACTATAATCCAGTTCTCACTTCAAAAAGTGAAATTTTCTTAGCTTAATGCGTGTAGAAAAGTACCACAACAAAGATGGTTTCAAAAGCGTTCAATGAGTTTGCTTAACTTAGTA